CAACAGTAGTTGTGTATTATTTTTGTAAATCAACTTCACAAAAAGAGAACCTACCTAGTTATGTTGTTGTTTTTTAAGGTTTGTTGTTGCAGAATAATTATTCTTTAATATCTACTATCCTTAGAATAGTCCCCGAGAACTACCGCCGACCTTCCAACTTTATTTTCAGATATAGGTTACCAATTGAAGGCAGTTTTTTTTAATGCCAAATTAATTATACTTTGTGCATGCAATTGTAATACCGTGACATACCGTTCATTTTTTTTTATAACACAGGGGACAAACAAGCATGCGGCTCACCTGATGGTAAGTGATTACCGCCACCCATGAGCACCCGCAACACCAGGGGAATTGCAAGTACGTTGTCGGCCTTTTAAAAAGGAATAAGCTCTTTTCTTGAAGGTTTCAATATCGTATCGGTTCGGAAATACCATTGCTGGAAGGTGATTCCATAATGTGGTTGTGTGAGGCAAAAAGTTTCTAGAAAACCGCACTGTGGAAGACCGCCATTCATCCAGATGATCAGGATGGTATTTCAGTTTCTGGCGGCTGGTACGGTGGTGAAACTCAGCAGCTGGTATTAACCCGAATAATTCCTCAGAACACTCCCCGTGATATATGCGGTAGAAAATACCACAGAGATGCAATATCTCGCCTCAAAGCCAATGGGTTGAGTCTGTCACATAGACGTTGATTACCAATGATTCTGGCTGCTCGGTTCTGAACGCGGTCAAATGGAAGTAACTGGTATTGTGGTGCTCGCGCCCAGAGATGAGAACAGTATTCCATATGCAGCCGGTATAATTGCAAGCGGTGGGCCCCCGTGAAATACCGTCTCACTCTACTGAGCACACCAAGCTTTTTTGAGGCTATTTTAGCCTTGTCCTCCAAATGACCGCAAAACTGAACGTCAATGGATATATCAACGCCAAGGACCTCGAGATTCGGCTTCACATCAAGGAGAGTATCTTGAAACAGGAGATACGATAAATGGTAACTTTTTAGCGGTAAACGCGCAAACTTGTGTATTCGTGGAGTTGAATTGAACACAATTTTCCTGAGCCCAAACCGAAACTTGATGGAGTGAAGTTTCGATTTCAGACACAGGTTTGTTCTGATACTCTTTGACTTTTGCCTGCCACATATTAGCATGGCCGCTGTACAAGGCATTTCCGGTACTGTCATCCGTATAGCAATGAATGTTGTTGATTTGTAACATGTCATTGATATGCAGAAGGAACAGAGTCGGAGATAGCGCACAGCCTTGTGGTACACATTCACAGAGTGTGGGTCGGAGCAAGCACCATCGACAACGATCGGCAGCCCAACGGCAACAACGCAAGCAGCCCGAAGGATGGTAGCTTTGAAAGAAGAACTTTGTGCCTAACCCGATCAAAGGCCTTCACAATATCCCTCCCTATATAGGCCCTCCCCCTTACTCTCAATAGCCTCTGCCCATCGATGTGTCAAATACACTAGAAGATCACCAGCTGACCGACCCTGGCGAAAGCCATACTGACGATCAGAAATCAACTGGTTCACTTCTAGATATCGTAGGAGTTGACGGTTAACAATCGACTCCATGGTCTTTGAGAATAAAGAGGTGATGGCTATGGGCCTATAGTTAGCTGGATCTGAGCGATCTCCCTTCTTAGGGATCGGATGAACCAAAGCCGTCTTCCAAAGTTTCGGGACTACACCTGTAGAGTAGCAGTACCGGAAAAGACGCGTTAGTACTGGAGCCAACTCAGCTGCACACATCCTGAGCACAATAGCAGGAATACCGTCAGGCCCACTCGACTTGTAGATATCTAGGGAGAAAAGAGACCTACGTACCAACTTTTGGGTAAATTTTACCTCTGGCATAAAAGTCTCACACCGCGAGATGACCGGCGGTGATTGCTCCCTATCGTCCAGTGTCGAGTTGGATGCAAAAAGAGACCCAAGGAGATCGGCCTTCTCTTTAGCATGTTGGGCCCACGAGTTATCCTCTCTGCGCAGTGGTGGAAAAGATGGCTGACAGAAATTTCCCTGAGCAACTTTGGCAAGAGACGAAATAGCCCGGGATCCAGATGGAAGGCTTATCAGTCTCTTGCCAATCCTGCTGATATGCTCCGACTTTGCTGTGGCTATAACTCTTTTGAAGGACCTGGAAGCGGAGTTATATTTCCTTTTATAGGCACTGGTATCTAGATCACTCGACTTCACAGCTGCAATCCAGGCACGGAAGCATTCTTGCTTATGGTGAGATGCCGATCTACAGGATCCGCCATACCAGGACTGAGATCTACCACTGACAGGTACCTGGGAATTTGGAATAAACATCTCCATTCCCTGAAGTACTACATCGGTGACAGATTCAGCCATTACATCAGGATCGTCCAGTGCGAAGCAAACTCGCCCCCATGGGTAAGGTGCAAAAAAACTTCGCATCTCATCCCAATCTGCCGACTTAAAATGCCAAACACGACGTCGACCAATAGATCGCGGCAAAGAAGGACGCGTGAGAGGCACTTCGCTCCGTATCAGACAATGATCAGAGGATCCCAGTGGCGCTTCCACAGACATCTGATATCCGTCCGGATGAGAAGTTAGCAGAAGGTCGAACAGTGAAGGTACATGGTCAACAACATCAGGAATTCGCGTAGGCGAGGATACCAGTTGCGTCAAACCATACGCCAAAGCAAAGCCATGAACAGATCTCCCCGCATAGTCGGTGGTACGTGAACCTAACCATTCAGCGTGATGGGCGTTAAAGTCACCTAGAATCACGACCTCAGCGGAGGGAATCTGTTGGAGCAAAAAATCTGTAGCCATTTGGACGTGTTGTCAATGAGTCGGTCAGTTTCGGTGTTACCGCTATGGGACCTGTATAAGCATGCATAGATGCGGGGATGGTCATCGCAATCTACACGCAACCATAAAATGGACAGGTCAGTACCTTCAAGTGTACCAAGACGGCGACAGCAAATATCCTCTCTGACATAAGCGCACACACCGGCCCGTAGAATAAAGTGGTGTTTCAATTTATATCCAGGGTAGGTCAGGTACGAAATTTCGTCGGGACAGGATATTTGCGTCTCCGTAAGGAAGAGCAAAGCCGGCCTCGCCGTCTCTAGGTGGTGGTGGACGGCGTTGAGATTGGAATGAATTCCCCTGATGTTGCAAAAACTGACTATGAGCAAGGGAAACGCCGATGAAGATTTGCTCGATTTCCTTTTGGCCAAATTGAGCGGAGTATTGCCCACCCCAGAATACGCAAGGCAGCCTGAGTGTGATCTTTCAGGGGTGGATTCTCCAGTAACATGGTTACTGGTACCACCCTGGGGTAAAAATCTCTAGTAAAATGGCAGCGGAATACCGCTGCCATTTTATGTAAGAAAGTGGTGGGTAGGGGAAGGAAGTAGGAAATGGATAGGGGGAGGGGGAGGGAGCGTCCGGAACCTACAGCTCACCATGCGAAACGCGATAATGCTTAACGCCGGTTTTCTGCCGAGATGTGGTATTTCCCGGTTCGAGAGGCCCAATCGAGTGTGAACAACCACGTATAGAATAGAATAGAATAGAATAGAATAGAAAATCATTTATTCAAATAAACTTAATTTAAGCACTTTTGAATAGTCATAACAATTTGTTTTTTATCTACCACTCGTATGGTCGAACAGCTTGCTCTACGACTTAAAAATGTTGTGGTTCACATGTTGGTTTTTAATCAGAACAAAGCTTAGTACTCTTATAAATAATGAAACTGAAGATATTTCCACAAGGAACTTTCTTGGAGTACCTAATACCTAACAATTTATGACTCTTTCGTTACGTACAGCCACGTGACCTAAATGTATTAGTTTATTAATATAGATTAGATCGAAGACAAAATCTATTTGGAGTAGGTATCTATAAAACTATTAGTTATGTTATCTGGAGAATCCCTACATAGCTCAAATCTGAAATATTCTAAATAGACAGACCAATCTTGATCAGAAAATCAGAAAATTTCTCATATTAGTAATATGAGAAATTTTCGAGTAGGTATCTATCTATTAGTTATTCAAATTTCTCATATTACTAATATGAGAAATTTTCAACCAAAACAGGTAATTCGTTTTAAAAAGAATGGCTCAGGCTGTTACTTAATGGGCTCTAATAAAAATAGGTACTACGTCACATTTTAATACATTATTGTGTTCATGTTTATATACATTTATTTAAGCTGTGAAATTAATTTAAAACATCATCATCATCAGAGATAAAATTTATTTTTTTATATTATACACAAGTGTGCCTCTGGTAAAATCTGGTATAACGTTATTCTTTGCAAGTCTGTTTCTAATGCTTCTTTTACAATATCAGAAACAAACAGAAATAATAAATTTATTGACTTGAAGAGATTTTGAATGATAAGCAAACATTTGAAATTGTATTCAATTTTGTCAACTGTAGATTTTTACACAAATACCAATTGCGCCAGCTATTTTATTAAAAAACATATCCAATTTTGTACAATTATAGCTAATTAAGGTCTAAGAAAGTATTTTTTTTACTGCTGTCAATATTTTGTATTGTCGCATGAATAGACAGGCTTACTTTTGTTAATGATATGATTTAATTGAATACATAAAAACCATATTCTCTAAAATTATTTGGGGAACAAAACAGTGGCAATGTTTTCTTTGTTGTCAACAATATTCATTTTATTCTTGAATGATTTATTTATTACGGCTTATCATTTCCTCAGATAATACACTCAGTTTAATAATAGTGCTTAAGAAACAATGAATAAGAAAAGCAAATATATGGCGGTTTTTTTAAAAGTATCTTGAGCACACTATATTATCCATTGATGTCATTTTTGGTGATATTTTATTTCTTGTACAAACTACTGTGACAAAATTTTATTTTCAATATACATACGAATTTTTTTAGCATTGTATGAAACAAAACTTTTAAGGTTGGCAACACTAATAAAAAAATGTACTTTGTTTATTTGGTTGGTACCTACTGGTATTATTTAAAACAGCAACGTATATTTTTACATTAACCTTAGTTGAAAGTTATTTTGTTTATTATCTCTTTAATTCTATTCAATAAAATATGACAATGAAGAGTGAAAGCATGGAATTGTATACAAAAATAACAAATCATGAAGCTTATGGAACTTCGTAAGAATTTTTGAGTTTTGTTCATTCGTCTGATATCCGAGATTTATAATTTATTTATTTGAAATTGATTTGTATGGGATTTTTACAGATACAAGTGGTCCCCTAAAGATTTTGAGCTAGGTACACCCCTTGGACAGGGCAAGTTTGGACATGTACATATAGCAAGAGAAAAGAAAACGGGTTATATTGTAGCCATTAAAACATTATTCAAATCACAAATAGTAAAATCCAGATGTGAGCGTCAAGTAATGAGAGAAATAGAAATACAGTCACATTTGAAGTGAGTAACACTACATTTCTTTTACTTAAAATACCAATTAAAATGATAGCTAATAGACTTTACTTAATCAATAATATCATTATCTATTTATTGAGGGTTACCAACAATTGTTACAATAATACATATTTATGTTTACCTGGGAGAGATTTACTTATATGTGAAGACAGTATACAAGTAATAGGGAATTAGTGATATTCACTGAGTGTTCAAATAAATTGTGAATAGAAGTGCATAAAAATGAAATGTTCCTTCATAATGGATAAACTTCTTCCACCTAGAGGTGGAACATCAACAAGTAATATAGTATATGTATATATATATCGACATAAATTATAAGCTGTGAATAATTTTTACTTTTATTATTGTTAGAATCAAGATACAGTAAATTATTGAGTTACCATACATTATATACACATATATTTATTTAACTTTCATAACAATTACAGGCACCCAAATGTACTGCGCCTACTCACATGGTTCCATGATGAGCGTAGAATTTACTTGGTGGTGGAGTTTGCAGCTGGTGGAGAACTTTACAAACATTTAACAAACTCTCCCAAAGGACGCTTCCCTGAGGCTAAAGCAGCCAAGTATATATATCAGGTAACTTTTACTAGATATATGCACTATATATACACAACTTTTTGTGAATATGGTATTTCATACTAAGAATTTATATTTTTTCTTGTGTTTAATTATACTAAATTAAAGTATAATGTATGTTCAAGGATTCTTTAGTTAATTCTATATTATGTTGTAGGTTGCAGATGCTGTAGAGTACTGCCATCAGAATCATGTTATCCATCGTGATATAAAGCCAGAAAACATCTTGGTTGATTTCAGTGGTGATCTCAAGTTGGCTGATTTTGGTTGGTCTGTGCATGCACCATCACAACGGTAGCTCTTAACTTTTAATTTTTTACTTTCAGTATAAATAAAGTAGTAAATAAATATTAAAAACATTTTATGCAGGCAAAGTCACAAATCACATGCATATTACATAAACAATACCTAGTTATTTTAAACATGTCCCATCCTACTTGTCAATGTTATTAAGAAGTGAGATATACATTTAAGTCCACCGCAGTAATTAAATTTATATTTAGTTTTCATGTTATAGTAAACCTGTCATAGGTTTACTATAAAATGAAATCTAAATGACAAGCAGTAGTTACTATGGATTTAGTAGAACTTACACTAAATTGATTATCTTTCTAGACGCAAAACAATGTGTGGTACACTGGACTACTTGCCGCCAGAGATGATAAAACGTGAAATTTATGATGTATCAGTGGACCATTGGTGCATTGGTGTGTTATTATATGAATTCTTAGTTGGAAAACCACCATTTGAGAGTGAAGGTCAGGACAAAACATATGCAAGAATCCTTGCTTTAGACATGCTATACCCAGACCATGTGCCTGAAGGTGCTAAAGATCTCATATCGAAGGTAAGAATTTAATATGTAATATAGTCAAAGGCATTGTAGTATCAGTAGATTTTTTCAGACTGTCCCAAATTATGAATAGTTTGTTCTTTATGTTATATATATGAAGATTTTTGGTACTGATAAAAATGGATTTCCAAATTTTTATCTTTAATTACAAAATAATGACAATATTTGTATTTTACTATTGACTTATTTCAGCTTCTACGACATTCAAGTAAAGAGAGATTATCACTAGACGCAGTCAAAAAACATTATTGGGTGCAACAATTTCAAAATGGATCATAATATATCACCTATACTTTTGCATTAGTCTTAATTTTTAATTATTTTACTTAATCATAGAAATAAAAATATTTTTAACAGTATATAAATAATGTATTTGTTCAGATCATAGAGTATAACCATAATTCTGAATCCACTTTAATCCAGCTTTAGTATTTCCCAGTGGTTTGTACTCTAAACCAATCCAGTCATCATAGCCAGCTTCTTTTATCAACTGAAGTATGTATTCATAATTCACTTCTCCAGCTGAATCTGGTTCATTTCTGTTGGGTACTTGAGCTATCTGTAAACAATTCGCAACATAAAAGGTATAATTCATCTTATCATATGTGTGATCTCACATAAACAAGTCATAATTGACTATTTTCTCTAGTATGTATTTCTTAAATGGATAGTAATTTATATATATCTAGTGACCCCCAAAACTCGATGGATCATGACTAGATGGGCAGAAGGGGACTTTTTTTATTACGTAAAGTTTAGCTGACCAATGCTACTTCTGCTGTGTCAGTTCTGCGCTGTTTTCCCGGTTTTGCAACATTTTTCATCCCAGCACCGCCCCTATCCATTGTAGCGTAATGTTGTATAGCATATATCCATACTTGGATAAATGGACTAGCTAAAACTAAAAATACTCATATTGGAATATCCCCAATATCACTATTGGGGTGGAATATCCCCAATATCACTATTGGGGATTACCGGAACATCCATTTTAGTGTATAAAATTTTATCTTTTTATTATATGTATGATTTATAAATGATAATTCAGTATGTTTAGTAACAAATATGTTTACCTGAATATGACCAACATATGGCATTAGTTTTTTTATATTATTTGTCAAGTCGCCAGCAATATGCTGCAGGTGAAATACGTCCAATTGTAGCCTTATATGTGGGCTATCAATCCTCGTTATCAGATCAACAGCTGAAAAGTAAGTTTATATAATTTTTATTATATAATTGTAATGATAAACAAACAGATGGCCCACATGATGGAAGCAGTAAACATCATCTATATACATGAACAACACTTAAGGATTTATCATGTGATGCCTGCAATATCACTCATGTGTAGCCATTCCAGAGGAATAAACCACATGCCTTTAATCCTGTAATTTCATTGCCAGATCTGTACTCTACAGCTGAAACAAACATCATCAACATCTAAAGATAACTACATATACACATAAATTATTTCGAATATCATATTTATGAATTTATTTATAAAAATTTAGTAATTTAGCATAATTATGACCTTACCTTTATTAAAATCACTCAAAAAATATTTAGGTACAGAATATTGATTGATTGGTTCTATTACACCTACTATGTTATCCTTCTTCAATTCTCCAGCAGCATACCTTAAATTGTTCTCAAAAGTTTCCCAATTTTTCTCTGTACTATTTTCTAACCTTCCAGCCATAATGTGTAACTTTTTTGCACCCACAGCTTTTGCATAGTCAATTGTCTCTCTTAAGTATTCTCTAAACGTGGCCTGTTTATCTGGTATTGCTGTCACACCCAGTTCACCTTTGCTTAGGTCTCCTAGAATTTAGAAAAAGACGTATGTAGTAGAGAATGTTTAATTATAGTATATTAAATACATATTTTTCATATATTAAGTAGAGGTTTTTGTAAAAACTTATTGATAAATCTTATGGTAAATATTTTACAGCTTATTACATAAATAAATATACATTATAATTGTGTACAAATGTATGTTTGTTAAACTAATTGGAAAAATAAATATTATCTCTTATATGATGGGTTTAATTTTTCAAATTAAATATAGTTTTAATAAATATTTAAATTCTATTTCTAGAAGTACCTACCTGTTTTAAGATTTATCAATATTTGTTGAACTCCAGCATTTTCCTTAGCTGACCTTACTTCTTCGATGGTGTGCCCTAATGGGAAACCACTCTCAACCGCTTTAAAACCAGCATCCTTTGCCAGCGCATATCTTTCTAATATTGTCTTTCCTTCCGTAAACATAAAAGAGAGGTTTGCACAAAATTTCATTTTTGTTATTGTATCAATATTAATCAACCCACCTACCATGTAGGAAAACCACTATACACTAGACGTGAACAAGCAAGTATTTTATAATGCTGTGGAAATGCATATATCAAAACCAATACTTGATATCAAGTTCCAAATTTATTCAACAACGTAACCTTATCTTAGTAAAAATAAACACGAGACCACAAACTGATAACCCGGCACCTGCTGTCATGACATTATCACGTCAGTTCCCACTGTGTACTACTACTATTCTGTGGTTTCCACAGATCTCTTACATTTGATGTGATTGTATTATTAAATGCATTATGAGGTGTTTTTTTTAATCGACAGATGTATTGAATATGCTTTTAATAACTCATTTAATATTATCAGCACTATCCATTAATTTTAATTTTCTTTTTAGTGTTAGAATAATATTTTTATAAAGGACTAGCCGACTCTCGCAACTTCGGCCTTTCATTTTCCCACCTGTTGCAATATTTTACATTGCAGCTCCGCTCCTATTTGTCGAACGTAATGTTATATAGCTTTAAGCCTTTCTCAACAAATGGGCTATCCAACACAAAAATAATCTTTCAATTCAAACCAGTAGTATATAATATAATAATATTATAAAGCTAAAGAGTTTGTTTGTTTGAACGCGCTAATCTCAGGAACTACTGGTATATATATATATATATATATATATATATATATATATTATTATTAGTATAGTATAGAACTACAGTGGACCCCCGGTTGTCCGACAATCATTTTGCAGAGCAGTGTCGGACTATCGAATTTGTCGGATTATAGAGTACTGCCTAAGACCCCTTATAGTCCGAATTTTTTTACAAAAGAGTACCTTGTAATCCGACAAATTATAGATCCAATGATGATTCTTTATATTATATACATATACAGTGGACCCCCGGTTATCCGGCAAACGTTTTGCAGGGCAGTGTCGAACCATCGTATTTGTCGGATTATAGAGTGCTGCTTAAGGGTCCTCTGCTTATAGTCCGGAATTTTTTACAAAAGAGTATCTTGTAATCCGACAAATTACAGATCCAGTGATAAGATTCTGTTATATATGTATGTATGTATATGCACTCTGAAGTATATTGTCAAAGTAATATTCAATAACAAATAATAGACAATGTCGGATTACAAGGGGGCCCGGATTACCGCGGGTCCACTGTATAGATGATATCGGAATGGTTCACCGTCCCAACGCTAATGGTTTACGCTGGCGGGGCATCAGTACAGGATGATAAAATCAGTATGAGGACAGGTCAGTTAGCCCATCGTGGCAAATTCATCAGAAATTTAACATGATGGTTTGCAGAGAGACTCACGTGATTATTAATTCACATTACTAACTGTCCCATCCTCCTCTAAGCTAATATTATACAGACAAATATATTTCGTCGTATTGATGAAAATCTATTGTTTACCAACACATTATTTTTGTTTGCTTATAAAAACCGAAACTACTCTCGAATTGAAAAATTTTAACAGGCGGGAAAAAAATGAAGTTCTATAGAAATAACTATAATAATAATAAAATCAAAAAGGAATATATTCGTAACATGAAGTTTGATCAATAGAAAAAGATACCGGGATAAATAAAAAACACTAATGATTGTAGTTTTTTTTATTTAACTCATTTCAGTAATTAAACACATATTATTTGTTATTTTTAAAATACGTAGCTTTTTTTTTGGTCTGCAATGGAAGGGCTATATAAATCCGAAACCTAGGTATAATTTACTATACCTAATTTAAATTAAACATGTTTCATTCTGCTCTTTCATATTTACCAAAATTAGGTTCTTTAGGAAGATTGAAATAATATTTTCAAATTATAACAATTGCTTTGTGAATTATTTTAAAGTACAACAAATTTACTTTTGTGTTATGTTAATGCTCTCTGCCTGCAAAGATTACTTTTCCCAAGAATAATTAATGTAAACAATATGTTTCGGATTATTATATTATTTCCATGTTATGCTGTATAATAAAGGGTCATTAATACAAAACTGAATAAATTAAATATTAGCTTAACTCATTTTCGGTTAAGTAAATAAGTGATAACGCAAATCATTAATCATTCAAACAACTTATTAATTATGTAATATACCTATCATATTACCGTAAATATTATACAATAAGTGTATCTAATATTAAATTATAGAATGGCCACTTTTATATCGGGCTAAATATAAACATCTAAGATGATTTAAATTAAATACAAAATGGAATGATTTTATTAATCAATAATGTTAATCTACATGTCGTGTCTAATAAGCTTATTTTAATACCTACTCATGCAATGCACAACGTAGTAATATTATATTAAATGCTGACAAATGCATAATGCTGGCAATACGCAGTCTTATTAACAAGAGGTATTTACGGTTTATAATTAAATTCATATACCTAAATATGTTTTTGATATTAACACAGCCATATTTAATAAAACTATTTTAGCAATTAATTAAACATAAAAGTACAAAACTAAGTTCTTACTTTGTAATTTGTGGACAGTACTTATTAAACTAAAAAGAAGTGTAGATATAATTTGAGCAGACCGTGCCAATACCCTGTGACAATGGAATTCAGTGTTCAAACTATGATAATAGTCAAATATTTTCGTATTGACTAACGACTGACCAATTATAACGAATTTTAGTATACGGGCAGTTTAAACCCTGAAGAATATATATAAATACATTTATATCGCAAAAATCGTATAATATAGGGGCTGACAAATTGTATGAAACCCATAATTTTGGTATCTGAGTGCCATTTCTATGGCATCAAACCAATCTTAATTATGACTGTCTGTGGGTCTGTAAACATATGCTTACCTCTATTTCTATGAGTCGAGCATATTTTTACATATACCTATATAAGCCGTGGTCTAAACACAGACACCGTAACAGAGCCCGACGTAATAGTTATCTCTTTTGAGATATTATCTGATAGTGTTAACATTATTTGTATTTATCTCTCCATTAACAAATTCGTATTAACAAATATGAATGATATTATAAGAAATGTAAGGAGATGCGACATCTTCGTCCTATGGAATGACAATGCGTGCGGTGCATCACGCCGTAACAAAGACAATGTTTGCAATGCTGGCCGTTTATCATCACTGGCCGTCAGTTTGATTATCATGCCAGTAAAATAAAAAGGAAAAAGCGCATTACATTTTTGATTTAGCGGTAGCATCCCTCTCAAACATGTCTATGAACTCTGATACTACAATATAAAAACAATAGATACCTATAATTCATCGTCTTTTGTCGAAAAATGTTAAAATAATAATCGTCGTTCATAATTATAGTATAGTTTTGTATATACAAAGAAGATGAATCTTCTGTTAGGTCGACCCAATAGGACTAGACACAACCACAACTAACGTAACTACAAACGCAGTCTGCCCGGTTATATCAGAGATGTGGGTTGGAATCCTGTTGGATCGATGTGTCAATGGGTAACATTCAACTTAATATTTTATTGTATTCTTCTATTATATTATTATGAACAACAATATGGCAAGATTATATCAGAATGTCTTTAGAATCGTAATGTTTTAAATTCAAATAACATTTTTAGTTGTAACTTAATTCTACCACTCGACTAATTTTAAAGATACGGGTGACTTTGGCGACAATAGAAAATCGAATTGTACATCTAATTCACCATCGAACTGCACCCTCCATCGCTGCATAATCTGCACAAAGAAATTTATATTACATCACATGTTATTGTGAAATAAAAAATAAACCCAGTAGGTACTATAAGAGTAGAGTAATTTTGTTAGGGTTACTCCATAGTAATAATAGTATGGGTAACAAAAATTACCGTACCGTAACAAAAATTATTAAGATAATCTAAATAGAATCTAATGATTGTATAGTCACCATACACTTAAAAATAATTTCGAAACAAAAGAATTGATTCAATAACTACCTAATTACAAAAATCAACAAGTGCACCTATATACTGTAACTTTTACATATTGCGTCTTTAATTACCACCATCGTTGGCTGCACCGACCCCAGCGCCCTATACACAGTACCACACACATCTACACGGGTATCTCTCTCTCCCAATAGTCTATTGACCGCTAAGCAAGCTTCCATGCTGAGTACGCATACTACCGATTTCAATGACCTCCTCATACTTGTGAGTAAAAAATATTTTTCTTTATATAATTGGAATGGAAACAAGATGTCGAACCACCTGATGGTAAGTGAGTAATCGTCGCCTATATACATACATGAACACTTGTGATATACCACTTGTGTGTCCTTTCCTAAAAACTAAGATAGGCCGCAAGACAGGAATGATATCTTAGTTCTCAGTAATTTCGCAGCTTTATATCAACAAAAAAAAAAACTACAAACCAATATATATACCCACGCAAACGACTTTTTTAAAAATTTATAGCAGTCTACCTCTGCAAATACATAGAATAGAGTGAACTTGATTACAAAGTGGAGGTATGATAGAATTTTGAACCTTGGCAAGCAGCAAATGTAGTTCCAACTCGACAAATCTCTTCCCTGGGCACATACGTCGTCCTCTACCGAATGGTGCTACTAGAGAGGCTGCATGAGGCTCCCGTCCGCACAGCCATCTTTCAGGTAGATATTCTGTCGCAGACCAAAAGTTCTCCTCACGTCTGCATGCTGCGCCTGTGTGCGCTAGCACAAATGTCTTAAAGAAAAAAATGTTACAATTAGTATATGTTGTTTTGTTTAATATATCTATGTCTAGCATTTTTTAAAATAAAAGCACTAGCATACAACAATAGCATATATATTTAGTAAGTTATTCTGTGCAATTTATTTATTTTTTATTATCACTAGCTTCGCAAGTGTAGACATTTATTTTTTTAACATTTTGGGATAAACGTACAGTACATAATTAAACAACATATTTTTATACCCAATATAAATAGTTGGTTTAAATTGCTAATAATATTTTTCTTTTAAAAATAATTAATGTTAATCAATCTCTGTGTATGTATATAACAACAATCTGCATGGCCAATTCACATAGAGCTATCTAGCCCTAAGCTAAGCAGACCTTGTGTTATGGATAATAGACAACTGATACATTTTATACTTCTACTTTTATACATTTTTTTTTTAAATCTATACCTAATATAGGGGAAGGTGAGGTAATATGATCCCTGGAGGTTAAATGATCCCCCCCCCCCCCCGCTGTAAATCAGAGACAATTATTGCCACCTATCCAAATATCATAGCGGTAAGAGTATTTGGCGCGATCTTATTATAAAATAATAAAAAAATGCGACTCTGATCTAAGGCAAGCCTGTTTTTGAACTTTCATTACTTATTACATGTTCGTGTTTATTGAAATGTTTTATTTGCGGATATTAATAGCAGTTAACTAATGTTCAAGCATGTTCGATCATGCACCCGGTATTTAAAGTTTAATATTTTGATCGATATCTTGGAATTCAATGTTTGGGGTGAAATTGTCTCTTTCATGTGTTTAAAATGATCCCTGGGATCATTTTACCCCATTAATATGTATTGTTTTTACAGATCAAGCCGAGATTTTATATACGCAAAACGAGTGGATTAGGTGCGTTGTGTGTCTTAAATGGGGACATGGGGAAGCTTGTGCGGGAATAGATAGTGACGATGAAGGCGACTTTACTTGCGATATTTGCCTTTCAAGTAATCAATTTAATAGTGTGAAAAAAAAATTTAACATAGAACTTAGAAATAGATAGGTCGATTTCTAAATTCTTTATAAGAAAATTATTGTTTTTTTAATGAAGTGTTGAAATTGCTATTGCATTTTGACATTGAGAATGACTAAAAAAATCTCTAATGAAACATGAAGACTGCAAAAGTTTCGTGTAACTTGCTTACATACTTAAATTGTTATGAACAATACATATGATTAAGATAAACAGCTGAGTGTTTTATTTCACAGCTATTAATTAAGTTATGTAAAAGGATCCCAGGGATCATTTTACCCCTACCCCAGGGATCATTTTATACATAGGTGTGTATAAAATGATTCTTTAGTAAACTTTAACAAAAATCTCTAATACAAATAAACTACATACATATCATGAAAAATAAGTATGCAGTTACAAAGTAAATTCACTACCTCTAACAATAGAAATATTGCGATTTTGACTTCAACTTTAGCCACAGTTAAGTTTTTTCCTTAAGGCGATCATTATACCTCACCTACCTCTACATACAAAACACCCAGACCAATACAAACAATCATGATTAAAAAATTTTACATCGTGCGGGAATCGAACATGCTACCATCGGGAATAATGTGTTCTGCCATCCATCATTAATATTATACCAAACTTACTTAGGAAAATTTTACATTTATTGACAAGTGGAAATAAAATCTAGCTAATTACCCCAGCCGGTAGTCTATGTCCGGAAATGGTCATTGGTGCATCCAAAAGTCTTGCCAAAAATGGAGCAGTTGGTAGCAATCTGAACGCTTCATTGGTAGCAGCTCGGATGGCAGGCGCAGCTGCCATCTCTTCAGCTCGTAGCACTCCACAGCTGGGCAGCTCTGAACGAATCTTCTGCTGCCAATCCGGTCGACCGCTTAACAGGTACAAGAGGAATACTAGACTGTTTGCCAACTGCAAGCAAGATGATGCTCAATTATTATGATGGCCTTAGTGATGTAGCAATGTACATTCAATCTGATATTTTTTTTTGTACTAGTAAGATTACTACGCCTTACATATAGGTATTTGAAAAATAAAATTACAGCAGACCGTCAGCACAAGTACTACTTACTTTAAAACATATAATTTTTGTATATGGAATATTTATCGCTGATTTTGTAGATAATATATATTAGGTTTAAACAGATCTAAACAAACTATTAGGTATATTTAAATGGTAGAGTTCAAAAATCTTAAATATCTTATTGTTTGAATAAAAAATATTTAATAATTTCAAACTACATTTTTAACGATTCGTTATCGCTAAATTCTTTGGTAAATATAAAGTTTTATAACCTGAATTTTAAAAACGCTAATCATGCGTCTTGTATCATAACGTACTCGTAATATAATTCCTATGCAAACAAAGTATCCTAATTACTAAGTTAAATAGAAGCACATTTTCTTTCTGAATTCGCTTACTGAACTACGTGTACGTCTTAAACCAGCTACAATCAAAATTCCTAGTAGTCATAATAATTATCTAAATTATTATTGACTACCAAATTTTGATTCAAATGCTTAGTGAATTTTGCAAATAGATACAATAGTTCCTAAAACCCTCCACTACAAACAGATCAAAACTTCCACTTTACCTACACTTTATTAGTGAAAATTATAACACGCATTTACAAAAGAAGCAAACTAGCAGATTAGATGCTCACCTGACGCAATAATAATCATTACCTACTGACATGAACATGACAAGCCTATTGCACCATATATATATCACAAAGTTCAGCTACATTGAAATAGTTACGTCATTGCCTCGCCTTAGGACTAAAAGTGTTATGACTTTCTCTATACCCAGTAATTTCACTGCCCTATTTCCTTATTATAACTGGCACGTAACTTGTCTTATGGCAGAATTAACGAATGCCGCAAAATATAATTACCTATATCTGCTCAAAATCCCAAACTTGTTAGTGTAATTTTACCAGCTTTGATAACAGAAATTTCGCATTAACATTTTATAAAATTCGCAATGAATCCTAATTTATATACCTACTGTTTCAATGCCCGCTGTCACGAAGTCTATAATGGCGGCTTTCTTATCCCGCATGTCAAGCGCTGGGTTTTCTAGTATTTTCATAAAGATTTCTTGCATGCCGTCATCTTGTGCAGATCCCCGCGTCCGCATCTTTGCTTCCTCCATTAGATCTGATACTATCCTGTCGAGCATTCGCGTGCCTAAAGCGAGCTATATTTTATATTACCTACATGTAATAATAGACATTCATCTTAAATTGAATATTATTACTCAAACAAATGTATAAAACTTTTTAATGTTAGATAATATTTTATACGTTACGCAAATTATTTTAACAAATCCTCGAAATAATATACCTACACCTGTTGGTTCTATGTATATATTTAATTTTGTTCACTTAGATTTACTATTCTATTCGGTCCTTGTATTTTATCAATTGCATACTGGATTCCAGTATGCAATTGTTGCATTTATGCAACTGTTCCAGTTCCAGTTTCCAGAATTTAAAAAATCCAAAACTCTAATCCACTATTTATTTCATCATAATTGAGAGCCGGTTGGTTGAACTAAATATTGTACCTAAACATTCACTAGTGCAAATTTCAAAATTGTACCTAACAATGCATATAATTATAATTTATACACATATATAATTATACGACAAAATTCGAGAGTTGAAGATTTAATACAGAGAGTGAACATTCTAGTATAATTATGAATAATAGTAGTTATTAATAATCAATATTAAATATATTTCTTTACATAAACTTATTATTTACTTATTTCATTGAAAACAACACACTGTCACGATTGATTCTTCATTGTGTGAAATCCATATTTACAGGAATTATTAAAATACAATTTAATTTAAATGTGTATAGTAAAACATTTGCATAGTAAACATAATGAGGTACTTTGTCTCATTATAAATTATTCTTAAAATAAAAGATAATATAAATACTCCATTAGTTTTCTCTTTTATCTTGTTTTCTATATTTGTCATTATGTCTGCTTTGTATAAACAGGCAAATATTAACTATCACTGTATACTTAAAGAATATTAAAGTTTTAATCACATTTTGGGTTATTTTGACGTTAAGATTGTTATCGCTGTCGTTGAACTTGCAGATTGTTTTATGGAGTCAGTGCTCTTTTATTTTTCTCAGACATTATCAACATAACGCGTCGGTAAATTAGTACCTATAGTATACCAAGATTGCCCATGTATCTACTATTTGCTCAGATTTATTACGTAACATTTAAAATCTATAATTTTTTAATGGATAATTATGGTAAGTTACTTACACCTGTCTATGCTAACGATATATGCTGTCAGGTACCAGTTAAAATGTTTTCAACTCACGTGTGAATTGTCTCTTCACTTCTAACAAACGTCCTGTACAACTTGGTTGGTGCGAACTTCCACAAGGGGGCGCCGTAATAGGAGTCCCTCTGTGCTCGAAAGTGTGCCTTGACAGCTGCAGCCAGGGTTGCCGCTCTACCCGACATACATCGCTCTAAGAACCCCAAACGAGTTCCTAGCATCAAACCGCAGACGGCTGTAAATGAAAATTGTCGTCATCTCAATAATAATAAAGACAATAACAAAAATAAAAGCAGAACAATCAAGTGAATGAAAATAAAATATGACAATTGCTAAGTATTCTACCATGTCCCACGGTCGGGGTTTTGTCACCATAATTACGCTGCGCAATTTTCTCATACTACTCTAATTGTTTTTAGACCAATTTAATTATTGCTTGAAAGTTTTACAAGAGTCTAATCCCAGGTGTCCCCTGGACTTTAATGTACTTTACCATGTAGTGTTTGTTTATTTACCACTGAAAAAACATAATTTCAAAAATCATTTTTTCAAAGTTGATCATACATCTAAGGAAAAATATCCTTATCATCACCAGACTCAAGCAATCTTATAAAAAAAATATTTTATGTCAGCTAGTAAATTTTTTTTCTTTTTCTTATTGTACTTCTTCTATGTGCACAATAAAGAGTTTATTATTATTATTATTATTATAAATCCATCACTTCAACTGTTTTAAGTGACAACTATTCTGAAGAAGTTCTCTTCCGTGGTGGTTCCTTTTTACAGACAATACCTACTAAACACTATAAAATTCATGCGGAAAAATATTATTATAATTTCGGAATAAACAAACGTGCCAAGGGATAGACTCAGTACACAAGCACATACCATATTTATCTTGAATGTGGAAAAAATCGTAGTTTTGAATAAGACCACCGCGATATTGTCAACCATTTGTTTTTACTAGAAAACTTATATCAGCAGCAGCTGTAACCTATTTGCTCGTAAAGACATAACTTCCGGCCACAATTGATAAGCGATGCACTTCATACATGCATTTCTAATGTTAAATACTTACCTACATAACATACGTACGCCCGCATAATACCTACTATTGTTTAAACTAGTGTTGTCCAGCTATTATATATTATCTATAATTTCTAATAAATGCAGATAGTATTATATCAATTATATGAAAAAAGGGCAGGATTTAAATATAGTCACTTACTGAAATAAAAAAAAACCCGTATATTTGTTTTTGTTGACTTTAGAGATAAAACAATAAGACACTTTGTACGTCTATTATATCCTAAGGGGTCCTGTGCATTCCCAATTATTGAAGTCTACTTTACATGCTCACATTTCATTACATTGAATGAATCAATTGTGTTAAATTATTATTTTAGAACTGCATAGTAGGTACGTGTAGCAGCACTAATAGTTATCGCTTATCGCATAGAGCTATTTCTGCAATGCCTGACCTATATTTTATATTATCTTTAACGTCACTTCACGTCGTGTTCTCGTCATACCTATAGTGTATCCTTCACTGAATATTCTACAATAACTATGACGTAGGTACTTCGGTGCATATTATGTAAGTACATTATGTAGTGAGTTCAAATTTATCAAATATTTTTATCTGACCTTGTTTACCTAATGTTGTGTAATTACCTACACCCTCGTGACTATTATCTATCTATCGACTAATAGACGTACAAATCCCGTGTTTTAAATATGAAAATAGTATCCGATGAAAACGTTTTCTATTCTTCTTATTTTATATATAAAATTTCTATCACAATCATCTAAAATTGTAATTTTATTATTACAGTTATTTCTATAAGAAAATCATTTGACTTCTAAATTAAAATCTAATAATATTTCAAATAAATTAAAAAAGTTGTAATTGTAAACTCACTCACCAAAGGGAACTTTGCATAAAAATATTTGACAATAAAATCAGTGTCGATAATCATGTATTTATCAAAAGTGTATTGTTAAGTTGCGATATACACTGATGCGCGGATTTATTCCTCGTACGGTACAAACATTTGTATTCATGAGTATGATTATTTGTATTTTGATATTGTAACTGAAATTACTTCATCCTCATACTATCCTTCTCTACTGATGACCCGCTAACGTAGCCGTTGTTAGTGACAGATGAACGGACAGACCTTTCACAATTCAACTAATAGTCGTCACGAATGCATACTTCTTGCTATATTTCGATATCTCAGGAAATAGAAGATTTACTTACACTCCAGTCCCATTCTGTTCGTTAGCTGGTCAAAGCCATGAACAGTGCCATCGGGTTTACGACAGGCATGCAGAAGATTCAGGAAGTCTTCGCAGATGTTGTTCAACTCAGGAAGGAAACCTTGTATTGTTTGCGGACTTGTGAGCTCCGCGGTAAGGTGACGACGAAGATGTTGCCATTTCTCTCCTTGCCTGTAAAGGTATAAACTTTGTACTGTCTCAAATAAACATATATGTCATTTCTATTGAAATATATATAAATACTTTCAATAAAAGAATGAATGCAGGCGAAATGGGATCTCTACCAAGTAAAGTAGATATTTATAATCAGTAGATTATAAATAGCTTTCATACCTGTAACTAATATAAACCGATATAAATATAAGAAGGGTGATGTGACGTGGATTAGAGTATAATAAGAAAAATTTGGTCTAAAATAACGACGACATAAAGGAAATCTACCTACTTATTACTATACTTGTAATACAACCGAGGCCGAAAGGGTAAATCGGAGATAGTCTGGCTGTCAACGTTGTCAGGTCTGTAACTAATGACGAAATTATTTCTACTTAATCTGTGTAAGTGCATGAAATAACATAATGATAATGAATAAAGGTGTATAAAATCAGAAGCCTACAAAGTACTTAGTGTGTACATAATTAAGCAGATACAAGAATCCACCCATTGTTTTGTTTCTAATATTATGTCTAAAAATAAACATTGACACATCGGTTTTTCTATGTTAAAGATCTATTTTAAAACCATAACCAGAAGATAATCCTGAATCAATTTATTCAATCGAAGTACGATAAAAAACTGACATTCAATTTGGCCATATCATACAGGAAATGCCATACAACATTAGTTGCACGGCTGTATAAAAAGTCAATAGGAATTGCAAAAGCATGATTTATCTATGAGTGTAGATACCTACGTGACCGGCAATTAGATCCTTGTCAAATATTGGCATTATATCTATTATTACATCTACTGCGATTATTATTAGACAATTCAACATTTCATACTTCCTATTTACCTTCTATTATTATTACTCTACTTTATTGGTGCTATATACATAATATATGTAAAATACCTCTTATGATGCGATTACTCATCAATATGAGTCCATCTTGGATCCTACTGTCGAGAAGCCAAGTTGATATCAAATCTCAATCTCAAAATCATATTTTCCTATATCCAATTTTAAGTTGATAAGTAGACTTTTATCAACTAAGTTCGAAAGTACTTTAGTATAGCAGGGGTTTGCACTCAATAAATATATTACAATAACATTGCAAGCCCTCGTTTATATTTGTGACTATATGCACTATATGTTTGACTAATTAAGTATTTACCGTTTTGTACTAATTTAATTGTCGTACTGAATGAAAATGTACGTTGCACCTACAAGTTATGAAAAGATTTTTTAGCCTAATAATAAATAAATATACTAACTCATTAACAAGTCCCGTGGAGGCATATCTGTCTGGCCTACTTCTCCGATAGACCTGAACTATCTCCGTGGGTGGACGATAAGGCCTTTTTGCTGGAGTCCGGAGCACAGCCTCAAGTGCGGCCCGTTCAGCAATCGACACTACAGCAGCGCCCCCTGGCGTTGTTTCCACGAACACCGGCCCGTACCGCCTGAACATGTCTGCGTGCAAATCTCTCATTGTGACAGCGAGGGTATAGATAGACAACATACGACAACATGACCTTGATATTGATATAACTCCTCAGTTTTCTTATGCAACTTTTGTTCACATAGCAATACTTCTTACGAAACCATAGCTACGCAACTACAGCATCAACCTAAATACTTTATATGCTTACAGCATTCTAAATAGAGAGAGATATATCAAAAATCATTCTACCTGCATCTCACCTTCGTAAGCTTCGTGTAATTTATTCATTCTGTATCTACTCCAGAAGAGCCATCTTGTGCCTAGGAATGGCAGTGCAGGCGGGCCGGGCAAGCGAGTGGCTTGCTTGGCATCGGTGACTCGAGCTACCAGGGCAGTAGCAGCCACTAGGAGTGCTGTCACCAATAGCACCAATGTCGGAACTCCCAACCCCGACCAGTCCACTAAGGGTGGTGGTGTACTCTGTTCAGAAAACAAATATGCAGGTTAATAATAAATGTAAATTAGAAAATATGTGTTCTTTTAAAAAAAATATTTGTCAATAGCACCTAAATGTTGTGAAACATAATGTGATGACTTAATTAAGAAGGCGGTCATCAATTGGCTCTCGAATTGATTTATTTTCAAATATTACGCAATATATATCTTTGGGTGTTTTAACAATAAATAGGCTCCGTGTCATTTTTAGTCACAATAGTCACAATTCAAGTTATTTTTTTCATGAAATAAGAATAAATTAAAAATATATTCATTGAGTTACTATATGTGCCCTAACACAATTTATGAATTTTATGGTACCTATCTATTTATTCTATGTTACTTATTTTATTTTCCTGTAAATTAACATGTATTATATTAATAAGGTATATTTCCATTTTACCTATTTGTTTAAAATATAAAACAGTAGATACAAGTGCACCTTTATAATATATTTTTTATAAATCTTATGTTAAATTAGGTACCTAAGTCTAAATCTTACTCTAAAATTTTTTGGCGGCCATACTGTTTATGGATTGTAAAACCGGATTTTATTTACATAATTACTCATTGATCGATATCGACTCACTACATTTACTATTTATACGTTTGCTGTTATAGAATTTTGTTTGGTGACGCGGTCATTCACCCACAACTCAGGCACTGAGGCGAGGTGGATGGCGGCCAGTGCGCAATGCCGCTGCTGATGGTAAGTAACTCAGCGATCTTGACATTGGTTTTACGCAACTGGCATGCGTTACGTAACGTAATGCGCCTACAGCCGGCGGCAACACAACAGTCAGCGACACGCAACGTCAACGCCCGCAGAATGTGCGATTGTATTTATCAAGCATTGCGACTCCAAGTATCTATACTAATATATAATAAAGCTGAAGGGTTTCGTATACTACTAGTTGGATTGGAAAAAAACATTTTTACATTTTATAGAATAATGTTTGACGAAGGTGGTTATTATTAGCTATTTTTTATCAAGCTACAACCAAAAAGTCAGAAGATGTGCTAACCGAAAATAAATAAATATCGCACATGTACCATGTTATTTTTATCCCATTTTTTTCGGACTACTCCAATGGTTCTCTAGTGCAGATGACACTACAAACCCGCGGAAGAACTTATGGGGCTACTGAGGACAACTCCCGCCTGATGGATGCGATTTTTATCACATTTTAATAGTAAAATTAAAATGTGACGACACAAAATAAAAAAACCCCTGAATTCCAGGGATCCTAGATTTCATTATTTTTTTCAATACTCCAACTTTATAAAATGTGAAGTAATTTCATGATGTTCCTTTGGAAATAGTAGGAGGCCGTCACTTTTTTTAATTTGAATGCGGTTAAAACCACGCGACACAGCTATTCAAGAACTTACATTTGATTATTATCTTGTCAAAGTTCTGCCGGACATGCAAGTTTTTATTGCATTCATAACGGACCATGTTGAGTTTAAAATAACGGAATATCATTTTCAAAAACCCGTTGCGAACTGTAAATGAATTCCTCGAAAGGCGCAACACAAATAATGTGTTTATCTTATCATTGACCAAATATATGTATTATTTATTTAAGTACGTGAAGCACTGACTCTTTTATATAATATATTCGATTTTTTTTACACGACTATGTGATACAGCTTCCTTCTGGAACATAATATACATAATGATATTACACCACAGTGAGAGCAAGCTGGCATGTTTCGTATATTCCTTTGTCTCTATTTCAAATAGAACTTTGTATTTTTTTTATTATTTGCCTATATACCAGTTCTGACGTTGCCCAAAAAACTCTTTTTTTTTTTAATATTCCTCTATTCTATTTAACATAATTACGCAAGAATTACCTGGATCTAAACTGTAACACTTCATGATTACTCAGATTAAACCATACCGACTTTGCCGCATTTTCTCGTTAGGTTTTTTTCTACATTTAGAAAATAAATTACATAGGGTACGTAATTTATTAGTATGTATATTTTATAATAAGTAATTAAAAAACAAATCCATTCACATTATCTATCCAAAACATTACATTACATTATCCCATTATTTTTTATTTTAGAGTTTCTGACTGTCTCTTGTGTTTTCCCTAAAATATTTTTAAAGGTTATTTGAAAGACATGTATTAATTATCAAACTGTAAAAAACATCTACGACTCTACGTTTTAAGCTTACGTAAATAAAATAATCGACTAATTAATCATGTCATAGACTGAATCTGGTTTGGCAAACCAGAGTGTTTTACACGAAGAATATAGACGGAATTCGACATAATCGGCCGCGTTGGCGATACGACGCCTCCAATCATAATTAAAGACAATGCATCCAAACGGACGCCGACCAGACGGCGTACCTAACCATTAACCTTTTTACCTACAAAGTGGTCCAATTTTGATGAATCTGTACACTGATAAAGATACCGTGAGAATATGAAATCTGAACAATATCAGTTTGCAAATGAAAAATAAAAATTGAACACTTATGGCAAATATTGATATATAATTACTATGCCTAATCGGTATTTACAATAACAAAAGTAGTAAATGATTTCAATGGAATAGGTATACAATAAGTGTATTGAATTAGCTTGTCTTATCCGCAAAGTAGGTATTAATTATATAATAACAAGGTTTCTTTGGTTCACGGTTAAATGCGATAAATTAAATATCTACCTAATTTGACGATTTGTATAGTATTGCACCAGTTTGTGTAAATTGTAATTAATTCTATTAAACTATTTAGATACATGTCTATACATATGAAAATATTTTCTTGTAGTATTACATACATAGTTACCTACCTAAGTGCAGCAGTATTCACCTTCTTAGAATTGAGATGTTTATGAATATAATAATTATACTTACAGTAGCTACATATAGAGTTCCAAACCTCTACAGAGTAATAATAGTCCAGACGAAAACATGAATTTTAATGTATTATGTCTCACGAACTAATTACAGGGGCGGCTCGCTAACTGCGAGCCCGCCAATTAAATTACTCCCTAGTGTATTCTTTATTAATCAGACATTTCTTTGACTTCCTCAATGTGCAATAATAAATACAATACTTCTTATCTTTTTAATCTCGGTCGAAATGACAAAGCAATTTACAGTATAGTATCTACATTTACATATAACTACATCGATATAAAGGAAAGAAATGATACCTACATAAAACATCCATGATATTATTATTTATCCGATGAGAGAATGCAAATGGTTATGAGAGGAATATAAGTTCTTTGTGTTAATCTAGATTGGGTCCAGACCGGATTCGAACCCTCTATATAGATATATTTGTTCCGAAACTGGTTTTGAGATAAAAATTCAATCCCTCCAATATGCAGGCAGACAGCAGAAGACACAAGTTGGTTCTATTGTTGCTGTTCTATTATCGTTATATTTTCTTATTTCTGGGAATCGATTTTGAATTTTAAATATTACTAAATAACTTAAATATAAAGACACTACTCTTTTGCTCAATACACTGTACACCGGAATCCGTGAATAATCTGGAGACCTCTTCTCTTCTCTGGAGATCGATTGCCGCAAAACAAATCGATAAATTTGTAGTTGAAATTCAAATATATATATAATATAACGACCTCCTACATAATTGAATTCAACAAATTTTATTGAAGTTTATCCTATACGAAGACAATATACGTTGATCTTTATAGAGAGATCGGTACTCAACGATACTCATAAATTGACAAATAAAAATATCGCTAATTAAATAACATTGAAAACATTATCACTTCAAGGATTTAAAAGGAGATGTCGACACTGTTGATCATAGTTGTGATAACTACTATATAATGACACAAGAGTACATAATGAGTTATCTCCGTTGAAGAGTGAGATAAGGCAGTGAAAGTAGAGGATATAGTATCATCTTAGTTTTCGGTAATGGCAACGTCTCATACGTTAACACGGGTGTCGTTTGATGTCCATGCAGCTGTTCATGTATTGTATATTGGCCACGTTACCTTTTATCATCAACTGAGCCGTCAGCCTGTTTGTCATTCTAGTTACATAAAAATAACAGCTCTGATTGAACACCTTTATCCGTAGCCTCCGTTGTCATTGAACATAATTCTGCTACATAATAAAGCAAGAAACGTACCTACATGGAAGGCACTACCGTTGCAAAAATATACAATTTATGTTAATGTAGGTAATAACATACTAAATGAAACACAGATCTGAAAGAAATTAAGAACTTATATCACTAATATATTATATGTAATGTAAAGGGGTACTTATTCAATGATACTATATATATTTATATATGAAATAAGGAACATAATTATTTTAAGAGATAGAAACAGATAAAAATGATTGGTCTCATTTAATGAAAGTAGACATATCCCTCCTATATACGAGTATGTATATATATATTATTGTGTGTGTGTTAATCATTTATTCATTTAAATGTTACAATAACAGTTATATATATTAATATATATATAATAATAAGGAATAAATATATATATATAATATATATAATATTCCTACATAGGCAGGCAGACTTTTATGAACTGCTAAATAATAACTAAGGCCTTATCTGTAGTCTAATTTTAGTCGGCGCAAGTTGAAGGTCGGTTCAGTAGAATATAATAATGTTCTATGCTTCATTTCATATGACTCCGTTAAAGTAGGTAATATTAATAAACTGGTGATAAGATTAAAATATGCAATCATATAAACCTATCTACCTAATAATGTAATCCTGTGTTCTACATACGGTAAATAAACCCTAAGGACGCGTGAAGTCATCGAGTAACAATAATCCATTTGTATATAAAGTTTATATGAACGCATCAGATTGATAAACAATTTGTCCCATTATATGCAATAAATAATGTAATTATTGTAAGCATTAATATTAAGATTAAATAGGTACTTGATCAATAATACTCTACATTAAAGATTTCTTTATTAGTCTGACGTAACTATCACTGCTGTTT